AAATAGGTAAAAGCTTTCTGTGCAATGGTTGGTACTGCTGGCTTCCCTGTTCAAGCAAGATGGCCTAAAAATTTTGACTGTTGGCATTTTGAGTTCCATCCCTGCTCCCCCCCAGAAAGGAGACTAGTTGAGTGCTCTCCTGCTATAATTATCTGTAGTAAGAAGCAAGCTGAGTACCTAAGCCACTGTTCCTTGTCTAACACATAACACCACCTCGTGTAATCTTCGGAGTAGTGTTACTTACCTTTAAGTCTTTGTCTGCGAGCCTTTGGAACATGTTGGCATACATCTTTTTCTCCTTCTCATGCTGCTCCCTTATTTTTTGCTGACAAGTCACCAGTTGCACTTTGGCAGCTTTGTTACTTGGATAAAGTTGTATCACTTTCTGGAAATCTGCTCGAGCCAGCTCAAAGTCATTGACAGCCAAGTGAGCTTCTCCACGACGGAAGAGGCCTTTTTCATTGTTGCTATCCAATTCAAGTGCCTGCATGCAAAAAACCAAAACCAAACCACATTTATTTTCCTTTTATAAAAATTATATGCAGTCAGAACACCAGTGACTGCTAGGAACTGTACCTTCTGATGTAGACTTAGGAGTCTTGTCAGGACTTACTAATAAAGTGAGTGGAATACAGTAGAAGTAAGTACAAAGAGGAATGAACATAGTAGGCCATTTGATAAGAGAATCAGCAAGTCTAAGATTTAGTCAGTGATTAATCCTGCTCTTTCAAAGACTTGCCAACATGACTACCTTCACCACATCTCAAGTGTTTCTTATTTCTGAATACTTGAATATTCTCAATATAGCAGCAAGTTAGTAAAATGTTCAAAGGGCACTAATTATGAAAATAATCTCTTGGATATTTTTAGTATACTAAAAATTCCATACTACCCAAATGCCAGCTGGCAAGAAAGACCAAATATCACATGGCCTGCTGTCCCTAAAATGTTTGAAGCAAGAAATAAACTGTCAGACTGCTTATGCAGTTTAAGAATAAATAAACTCCTACTACCTTGTTACAGTTCTCCAAAGCCTGGGAGTACTCCTTTAGCTTGAGATGGCACATAGCTAAGTTAAGGTGAGCAGCAAGCCTCAGGCTTTTGGCTTTTGATTCCTCTTCCTCAGGGAGTCCCGACTCATGCTCCAGCCATGACACAATCTTCTTATACTGCAAAGCTGCCCGCTTGTATTTCCCCTCCTGTAAACAAGGCAGCTCAATTATCACACAGCTCATCACAGTAACTTTTACCTCCCTCTCATCCCTTTTGCCTGCTTTGAGCAATAGATCTAAAAAACCCCATTTGATCAAGGAGTAACTTCTGTCATCAAAAATACACTACTTCTGAGAGTCATTCCTGCACAAGATCAGAAAATCTCTAGAGCTAGGGGTATATGCCAGCATTGATACTTCCCTGAATTCCTACCTTTATATTCAACTTTTGATGCAAAAATAAGTGAAGATGGGGCATTTTCAAAATGCAATATGAAGATAATAGGAAACACTTCCTTTAGCTGGTGAAATTTCTTTGAACAGCTTCTTCACACATCTCTACCCAAATGAATGCTGTTCATACATAACACTCTCCCCACAGCAGGAACTGAAACACTGTACACCTCACAGAGTTATCTGCAGATACAGCAAACAGCTCTAACTGCAGAGAGCTAGCTCCCTGCAGAGTTGCAAACAGCTCTAACTGCAGAGAGCTAGCTCCCTGCAGAGTTGGGTCTGTGGATAATCCAACCGAGTTTTGTTTTTTTTAAAAAAAAAATTCCCCTCCAGTTCTCCCGGTAAAATCTCACAGAACACCATGAACACCACTCAGAAATGACAGAAGCTAAGAAATGCTATTATTACTTGGGCCCAGTAACTTACCTTGAAGTACTGAGTGCCCCTCTCCTTCACAATGCTGCTCTGTTCCAACTTCTCATCTGTGTTCATTTCCCAGGACTCCTTAGCCTACTCAAACAGGAATAATTCCAGTCAATTTCAATACAATTTCTAGGGAAATCAGGTAGCTATGCTGTTTCCCACTAACAGTATGGTTGAGGTAAGTCTGGCAAAGGAGAGCTTTGCACTGCTAATGAAAACCAGCCTAGAGCACAAGAGATGGCAACAGACAGGGATACAGGAAGAATAAGAATTATTTCAGCCAACAGCTCCCAGCATGTCACCATCATCTCTGGCAACAGTGGCCTCCCTGTTTCACAGCACCATTCAAGGATTCCATTGTCATTGTTTAAGCTGCACTCCCACTTCTTCCCCCACCCCCAGATCTCTTTGGGATTTCATCTCTTGTTCTCACCTTTTCAAAACTTTTGAGTTTCACTTCATACTGCAGCTCTGCATCTGGAGGGATCTTAAATTTCTCATTCCCAGCACTTCCAAAACCATAGCTGTAAAATGGGCGTGGAGAGAGAGAAACAAAAATTATAAAGAAGATTCAAAACTATCCATCCAGCTATATTTGCTACATAGATAGAGACAAAAACCCCATGCAAATTTGGGATGTGCATAAATTATTATTACAAGACAAAGGCTTGAGGAATCCTAGCTAGAATTCTAAAATTAGCAAGTACAAGGCAGAAGAAAGTAAGAGAAACCTAGTGTTGACTGCATTTATTTTTTACCATTTCCTATTATTTTATTAGTTTTTTTGTTTACTTTAAAGAAAAGCAAGTAATGCCTTCATCAACAAAAACCCAAACCAAAATAACCAACTTTCAAATCACAACTACTGGCTTTCATATTCATGGTCTGAAACTGAGCATTGCCTTCAGAGCACCTGTATTTTAGTTCTATTCTTAGAAAGCAAAGACAATAAATACCAAGATTAAGTGAGCAGCTGTACACTTAACACACTGATAAACAGGAAATACCTACAGAAAGGTACTGCAATGCAACTCCAGTAAGAAGCTGCATATTAGCAGGAAAACCCTCTAGATCAGATTGCTTTCTTTTTCTGCTCTCATCAGGCTCAGTTACAGTTAAAAAAAAAATTAAATGAAA